CTTCAAGCGCCCCTCTAGCAGTTACCAGTCACAGTGAGAGACCAGGACTTCGTATCAGGAATATACAATTTAGGAGACAACTGTCAAGATAAAATCCATACTTGGAGATATCTATTGTCATGAACTCGTGTCACTGCAATAGTCAGAGCTGAGAAATACTTGAGGCAGCAGCTTCATCAGATAAGTGGCCACTACTCCCTGCTGTGGAATTCAATGCGGGCCGCTCGCAGCTTTCTGAAGCCAGCTGCTTCCAGCAGAGCCTTTCACCAAGCTGTGACCCAGGCAGGAGTATTTAGCTCCTCTGAGCCAAGGCTGAGCTCTGAGCTCAGTGCAGGGCCCTGCGAGCAGGAAGCAGCCCGGGGAAGGCTGACGGCTCTGCGGGAAGCGAGTGGCCGAGCGCTTCTTGGGCTGGGTCTGAGGAGACGCGAGAGGCAAAGGGGGTCGTCCTGCTGCCTCTGGCCGGAGCTGCGGAGCATCCCCACCCAGCACAAGCAGGGCCCTCTCCTCACAAACCAGCGCAGACAGAAAAGCCCATCTTTGCTGAGCCGGCAAAGCAAGGGCCCACTGCCAGGGTTATTAAAAATAGACAGGCTTTAGATCTGGGCTAAGCTACGGGGGGCTGCTAAGTCAGTGTGCGTTCTTCGTGTAGCTTCACTGCTCTTTCACAGCACGCAGCGTGCAGCGAGGAGCTCTCCTGCAAAGACGGGCTTGAAGCAGAGACGGGCGATGCCTGCGCAAGGAGCCCCTAGCTCCGGGCAGCCTGAGCTCAACCCAAAGCGCACCTGAGGCGGCGGGGACGTCGCTGCCCTTCGCAGCCCTCGCGCACAGCGCTGCTTGCCGTGCCAGCAGCTGCTCTGGCCCATTCAGCACGCCAGATCTTTTCCATGCGTTCTCCTGTCATTTCCTAGGACCGAACCTCTAAGTTGTACCTAGCTGCTGCAAAAGCATTTGTGATTTGGCAGCAGTGCTGGGCCAGAGGATACCCAGATGAGGGGCACAGATGAGGCAGGTTCCTGTGCCCTATGGTAGGGTTACTCGTCATGGGGCAAAGCAGGAGTCACTGGTTTAATTAACATTTCCTGAGAGCAAATTTCCTCTTTGCTCGTTTTTAATTCCTATTTTAACTTCACCAGAGGGGCCCTCATGTCTCAGTTGCCACTCGAGGGCAGTAAAGCAGGGGTATCAGCAGGGAGGGTGCAGGAGGGAATCTCCGGTGCCGGTGCTGGCTCGGACGCTGGCTGCGCTGCGGGCCCGGAGGAGCCGCGGTGCCGCTCGCCCCGGCAGCACGGCCTGGTCCGCGGTGAGAGCCCAGCTAAGCTCCCCGTCAGTTTGAAATGCTGCTTGTCCTGTGCCGCCCCCTCCTTCCTTGCCTCTTCCTGCATCTATTTTTTTTTCCTCTCAGGTACCTGGAAAGCTAAAAAAAAAAAAAAAAAAAAAAAAGTTTATTTAAAACAGCTTTTTCTGAAGCACGGAGGAACTGCTGCAGTCTCCATCAGAGCTGCTTCCTGGAGAGCACTGTGCTGGTCTGCAAAGCAAAACCACGAGGGAGGGCAGAGGAGGAAGGCAGTTGTGGGCACCAAAGTCCACCTCTGCCCCATGGGAACCCTCTGCAAGCCGCTCAGAGGTTGCCAGCCTTAGTGGCCACCCAGCAGAGAGGAGCTGGAGGAGAAGGCCAGCGGGAGGCCAGCCAGGTGAGAGCGAGAATAGCGCTGGCTCCCTTGTGGGCAATAAGTAACAGTGCTCCTTATAGATGTCCCACGTTTTCTCACCCGCAGTGGGATGCTCGGCAGGGCGGGATTCCCAAGGAAAGGCACCTCTGCACCTGTCACACAGCCCGAGGCAGCTGCGGCCGCGAGGGGTAACGGCGCTGCCGGCACAACCCAAGTGGAAGCGCCAGCTCCCGGGACGCTGAGGAGGTGCCGAGAGCCTCCTGACGCCCTCGGCCGCGCATCTGGCCACGCGCCCCACAGGGCTGGTTTGACTAACGGGTGGTCCCGGGGAAAGCAGCCCGGCCGGCGCCGCTTCCCTCGGCCGGCGCCGGCTCTGGTTTCTAGCAAGCGCAGGCATCGGCAGCCCCGCCAGGAGCCGGGGAGCTGCCGCGCTCCTCCTGCCGCTCGTGGGGCACGGGGAAGCAGAGGCACAGGGTGATGCGTGTCCAGCCAGAGGCAGGGGTTTACCATGGGCATGCAGTGGGGATTATCACCGCAAAGCAGGAGTGCAGCATGTCCGCAGAGGAAATGCACCACAGGAAAGAGCTGGGAGCGTAGCCGTGTGTTTCCTTGTGCAGGTGCTTTTGTTTCAAAGCAGAAGAGTTACAGCTGGCTGTAAGTATGCAACCCCCAGCACACGGCGCTGTGAAGGGAGGGAGAACAGCGCGGCGTGCAGAGCCCCACACCTGCCCTTTCCAGGCAGCCTGTCTGAGCCCACTGGAACAGAGGACCCCTTACACCGTCTGAAAAGAGAAAATAAAATCCGATAATACCCCATTCCTTATAGCATTCAGTGGTTTTCATTCACAGCCAAATATGGATTAGGCCATGCACCTGCAGGCATTTGTTGCTGTCACTTCCTTGGCATGTTTGCTCCCCAGTACAAGAGGGATGTGGAGCTGCTGGAGAGAGTCCAATGCAGGATTATGAGGATGATCAGGGGCCTGGAGCATCTGCCCTGTGAGAAAAGGCTGAGGGAGCTGGGCCTGTTCAGCCTGGAGAAGAGGCGGCTGAGGGGGGACCTGATCAGCGTGTATAAATACCTCAAGGGAGGCAGTGAGGAGGAGGGGGGCGGCCTCTTTTCAGTGGTGGCCAGCGCTAGTAGAGGAAACAGCCACAAGCTGAGGCACCAAAAGTTCCACAGGGACTGAAGGAAACATTTCTTAGCAGTGAGGGTGACAGAGCCCTGGCACAGGCTGCCCGGAGAGGTTGTGGAGTCTCCTTCTCTGGAGACCTTCACAACCTGCTTGGACGCAGCCCTGTGCCACGTGCTGTAGGTGACCCTGCGTGAGCAGGGGGGTTGGACTAGATGGTCTCTAGAGGTCCCTTCCAACTTTAAGGATTCTGTGATTCTATGATTTTCCTGCCTGCAAGTGCCTGGGCTTGTTTCTATAGCCCCCTTCATGATCCCAAAGCCTGCTGCTCCCGGGATCACGAGCTGTGGCTTTCAGACACTGCTGCCTTTCCCAAGAAGTTTCCCAGCAGCAGGAACCACTGCCATGAACTTATTCCTCTTTAGCTGGAAGCCTGTAAGTGCGTGCTGTGCACGCCGAAGAGCGTTCTTGAGAGAAACAGCACAAGTTCCCGGAGGAAACCCGGCAGCGGCGCCTTTGCTGCAACGGGAGCAACGGGACGGAGCAGCCGGACGGGAGCAACGGGACGCAGCAGCTGGACGGAGCGGAAGGCCCGCGCGAGGCCGCGGCCGGGCCGCGTGCGGGCAGCTCCATCTAGCGCCTCGCAGGGCTCCCTCCCTCCCTGCTCGCAGGCTCTGCGGCGGTGGTGGGCGCAGGTGGGCGCCTGTCGCTGGGCTCCCGGCGGGTGCCGAGCGCCCGGCTCCTCGCCGAGGCCGGAGCACACAGGAGGTCGCGCGAAGCCTGCGGGGCCGGATCCACGGGAGCGGCTCTGACCCACAGCCCCAAGCCTGGACACCAGGCACACAGGGACCCAGCGCCCAGCTTTCCTGGCGCCCCCCTCCCGGGCTCGTGCACAACTTGTGACAGGGGTGCACTGCACACACACAGTGCGCACCCCCTGCAGTGCACACTCACCCGCACACACGTGGGCATGCACACACGTGCGTGCACACGCGCACAGATTCATATCACACACACACAGACATGCACAGGGAGGTATGCAGACATGTGCACACATGCACACACATATGCACCCTGAAGCATGTACACACACCAACATACATGCACACACATGCACATATGTGCACACACAGAGGCATGAGTGTCCCACCTACACACACAGGCACATATGCATGCATATACAGCTGCACACTCACATGCACACCCCTGAAACACACGGGCACTTGGGCATGCACACACATGCATATACACCTGCACAACCACCCGTGCACACACATACACAGGCACACACACCCACACATCAGACACATATACACACACACCAATACATGCAGGCACGTATGCACAGGCACACATACAGAAAGGCATGAACATGCACATGTACTGACACGTGCACACACAGGCATGCATGCACACATACACAGGCACACATATGTGCACACATGCATACTCCCCCTCACACATGCATGCACATATGTCCACCACATGCACTCACACATACACAGCTGCAGTCACGTGGACATGCACACGCATGCATGCGTGCGCACCCCTCACGCACATGCACATGACCACAGATGTGCACGGATACACACACGGAAGTGCTCACACACACATGCATGTTCTCACACACATGCATGCCCCCTCACGCATGCATGCACATATGCCCACCGCATGCATCCACACATACACACCTGCACACAGTGACATGCACACCCCCTCACACACACGCACACGTGGACATGCACACACGCATGTGTGCACATGTATATGCACACGCATGTATGCACAGCCTCCACGCACATGCACGCATGACCACGCACATGCACAGATACACACACAAGGAAGTGCGCACGCACACACACGTGCTCTCACACACATGCATGCCCCCTCACCCATGTCCGCACACACACACACACACACGGACACACACGTGCACGTGCGCGCGCGCGCACACACACGCACGTGCACACCCGTGCACACCCGTGCACGCGCACGCACGCGCGCGCACGGCCCTCCCCGCCCCCACGTGACCCGCGCGGCTCCCGCCCCCCATTGATACCCTGTAGCGAGGCGGAACGTTCCAGGCACCGCCAGGCACGCGCAACCGACGCCCGAGCAGCGGATCCGCCAGGCGGCGGCGGCAGCGGGCCCCGAGGGCTGCTCGGCACTCGGCTAGCGGTCCCGGCGGGCGGGAGCGCGCGGGGGGAGCGCGCGGCGGCCGTTGGCGGCGGCCGTTGGCGGCGGCGGTTGGAGCGGGTGCCGTGGCGGCGGCGATGGCGGAGCCGTCGGAGAAGCTGTACCGGGCCGAGTACGCCAAGAGCGGGCGCGCCTCCTGCAAGAAGTGCGGCGAGAGCATCGCCAAGGACTCGCTGCGCCTCGCGCTCATGGTGCAGGTACGGGGCCGCCCCCGCGGCGGCGGCGTCTCCCGCCCGGGCCCGGGCCCCTCGCGGCGAGGAGGAACCGGCGGCGGCGGTGTGGGGGGAGCCTCGGGGCCCGGCGGGCCCGCGCGGCCTGCACGTGCTGCTGCCGCCGCCGCCGCCTTTTGTCTCCCGCTGCCGCTGGGGGCGGCCGCGGGGGCTGCTCCCCGCCCCAGCCACCCGTGTTAACCGGTGCTGCTCCCCGGCTCCCCCTCGATCCCGCCCGGAGCCGGCATCCTCTCCAGCTCCGCTCGGGAAGCCGTGGCCTGGGGGCAGGGGGCCGAGCGCGGCCTGGTTCGCGAGGCGAGGCGAGGCGCGGCGCGCGCGGAGCCCCCACGCTGCGACCTCCAGGGGTGGCCGGCGGTCACGCGGGGCTCGCGGTGCCGCCCCGCGGCGGCCCCTGCGCCTCGTCCTGCTCGGCGCTCCCCCGCTACGCGGGAGGCTTGCCCAGCTCGTTAACCCCGTGTGTCCGGTAATAATAACAACAATAACACGGGGCCGTGCGCGCTTGGTGCAGCCGTTATTCGTGCGCGCCGCTTGCAGCCAAACCGCTGCGCGCGGTGTTGCCTCCCTGGTAGCCGGAGCGAGGCCAGGTCAGTGCCGCACGTGTCTGAGTCGCCACGAGGCAGTCCCGTGTTGCCCCGTGGGGCAGGAGCTGGGCCGTGGGGCAGCCCCGGACCAAACTGCTGCGCTGCGGGGCTTCCCTTCTGGTTCCTGTCTGCAGCTTCCTGGCAGGAGGCTCTTGCAGATGAGCCCCGGGGCTGTGTGAGGGGGTTTCACCTACTGTCTCTGTTTTGATTGCTCATCCCTGCAGAGCGCCTGGTTCTTGGGGAAAAAATACCTCTCCTTGCCTGTTCGGTCACGCTGGTTTTCATTCTAGACTTTGTCCTCATTTGCAGATACATTTTAGTTGAAAGGAAAAAAAACCACAAGGTTATTTGCATTTATCCAGATCTCGTTCTTTCTCTCTCTCTCTCTTTTTTTTTTTTTTTTTTTTTTTCTCCTTCCCTTGTGATTCGGATTTACTTCATCCTGGCCTAATTCTGCTTTCTTCCTAGTCGCCTATGTTTGATGGCAAAGTCCCACACTGGCATCACTACAGCTGCTTCTGGAAGCGGGCTCGAATCGTGTCCCACGCAGACATTGACGGCTTCCCTGAGCTCCGATGGGAAGATCAGGAGAAAATCAAGAAAGCCATTGAAACTGGAGGGCCTGGAGGAGGTAAGCAGCAGTGTCCTGGTGCATCGGAGGGGCAACAGGAAACTTTCTCTCATCAAGCTATTGACAGGTTCCACTTATATGATTTCTGTGTCCCTTCAGGTAGCGACACGGGCAGAATTGCCCTGGTTGCTGCTCCCTGCGGTCGAGGAGGCTGGCAGCTTGGTCCAGCCTTTGAAACCAACAAGGAAGGAACAAGGAACTTGGCATGTGCCTTGACAGATATATATATTTTTTTGTGACTGGTGTGTTTTGGTTTCAGTTCCCTAATACTAGCAAATGCTCCTGCATTATGTTATTTTAATGATATCTTCACTGTAGCACCTGGGTCTGGTGGCTCTTTGCAATTGTTAAACAGTGAGCTAATGAGTTGAGGAAGCCAGTGGAAAGAGTCTGGGTCCAGAACTAAAGCTGTAACCAAGTCTCAAACTAAAACTGAGCCACCCAGTCTCTGTTAAACTGATGATACTGTTCTAGATCAATGCCTGTCATAATGTGAGAAGAAAAGGAAACTGGCGCTTAGGAAGAGTTGTGTTTTGAAGCACAGCTATTTACTGTGTTTGTGAATACAGTAAATTCTTCAATAATATCTGATTTTATACCTCTCTAGAAAAGAGATTAAAAAGGTCAGCTCCATGCACGTTTGAAGACTCTTCAATGAGTAGTCATCTACAGTTGTTAGTTGGTTGCTTAAAAATCTTCATACTTTGAATGCACTCTTGAACATGGACTCATTTATTTTTTTTCCATTCTGTATTCAGATTATTGACAGATGGTTCGGTGAGATCTATTAATCTTCTAACAATCTGAGACTGAGAATAATAATAAAAGGAATGCCTTTTAAAGCCAAACTCTGTATTTGCCTTTGTGCTCCAGGAAAAGGAGGAGACCAGGAAGGAGGTGGCAAGGCTGAGAAGAGCTTAAATGACTTTGCTGCAGAATATGCCAAGTCTAACAGAAGTACTTGCAAAGGCTGTGAACAGAAAATAGAAAAGGTGAGGAACTTTTCTTTAGTTGTCTAACTGTTGTCTTCTCTGCCAGCAGTCCCAGTTCAAGCAGTGACTTTTATGTTTGCTTCCTGCCCGTCTTGTGTACGGGCGGCACTTGCAGACTGCAGCTCTGTGCACAAAGAGCAGCCACATCCTTGCAGTGAAGGCTGTCCTCGGTCTGAGCGTGGGTCTAAGGACTGCTGGCGCTGCTGTGCGCTTGGAGCAGACTGTAGCGGCCCTCACCAGTGTTTCTGTGGCGAGAAGGGCCCCACAAGCCCTGTCTTTTGCTGCCTGGTGGAATGTGTCAAGGGTGCCAGCTTCCACCTCCTGCTCAGCAAGACCAGCATATCAGTTAACTCCCAATGCAAATGCGGGGATGCAGCTCATTAACGACACATCCTGCCCTGGAGCTGAACATGTCTCAGTGCTCTGCTTTTAATCAGTGCTGGCCAAACGAAACTTGGAACCTCTCTATACCGTTTGATGGGAATGGCCCTCACCTGTGTGGCTCTAAACCTAGTCCTGGGATCTTTCTTTCTGCAGAAACATTGGTGACTGTTATGTAGACATATCCATACTGGAATGTGCAGTACTAGGGTCTAAAAACACCTGAAGCAAATAGTTGTTGGAATCTGAAAAGTAACTTTAGTGAGTTGTGATGAGAAGCTTTCAACTCTTTGGATCTTATTAGCCCTGCTGCTCAGTGTTAGGGGATGTTCAGCTTTTGGAGTTGGCTGCATAGGGTTTTGTTGTGTGAGCTTGGTTCTGACTTTACTGGCAGTCAGGGAGGTGAGTGAGTAAAGGCTGCAGGGAGTTTAACTGTTGAAGTGGTTTCTTGAGTAGAAAACTACTTAAAATGATAGTCTTTCAACTTTGCTTTAATTGAGATCATTTATTTCAAATTGAAATATATGTGGAGAAATTAAATTCAGAAATACTAAGAAAAACAGAGGAGCTTCAGAGGCAGAGTTAGAATGAAAGTTAAAGTTTTTAGTACAAGGAACACTGCTGTTCTGCAGCTGTTTAGGGATTACATTTGTGATGAGCTTAACACATGGATCTTTTTAGGGCATCCTAATGATTGTTTTTGTGTTTAACCTGACTCAGGGCCAGATCCGAATCTCCAAGAAGATGGTGCATCCAGAAAAGCCCCAGTTGGGAATGATAGATAACTGGTACCACCCAGACTGTTTCGTGAGCCGCCGAGCGGAGCTGGGCTTCCTCCCAGCGTACGGGGCTGCTCAGCTCCTGGGCTTTGGGATTTTGAAAGCTGAGGACAAAGAAACTCTGAAGAAGCAGCTTCCAGCTACTAAGAGTGAAGGGTAGGTACGGAATGTAGGAGTGTGTAATGTCTAAAGGAGCTTTTCCGTGTCTTCAAATGTGTTTCTGATGAATTTTATTTTTTACCACTATTGTCTCTTTTACATAGCAGTTGTAGGAGATGCCGTTTGCTCTTACAGTACTAAGCAGGTGACCACAGACAATGCAAGGGAGTTGTCCATCCAAGGGACTGCATACAGAAAGCATAGAGACCAGCAGCTGTGACTCAGAAAACTGATGCAAGGCTTTTGGCCATAAAATAATGTGTGTTTTATACAAACGAGTGCTGGGCTTTGTGTCTTCAGTGTTATCAGTGATGATTTCCGTTCTCTAGCCCCTTATTAAAGAATTGACTTGGCGTGTCTTACCTGTGAGCTGCTCATCCGTTTCAGGCACTGAGTCTGGTAATGGTGTGTGCTGGCTGAGTAGTGCTGACCCTCAGATGTTCTTCTTTGTCTCTTACACTAAGACTGAAAAGTCATTGGCTTGTATAAAATTTCTGGTTAGAGACCCTTGACAGAACTTGTAGCGACAGAAAAGTGCTTCCAGGTTTCTGCTTAGCTTTGGTCAATCTTTCTCTGTTAACTAAGGGTTTTGTTGCTTGTTTGTGAAATGGCTTAGATGAAACTTAACGATTCATAATTCAAGCATGGGGACTGTTGCATAGTCCCCATGGAGGAGGAAACCTGAGGTGTTGCTGAGGTCTACAAACAAAAGTTTGTCTTTGTAAGACCTCAGCTTTCTCCATATGCATTGTAGACTGAATTCAGCTCTAATTGTACCAGGATTCAGTGTGAAACTGTCCAGTGAGGCCATTGTTGGGTTCTGAGCAAACATAAGTGTGTGAAATTTTCTCAGCATTGGTCCTCTTGGTGTGTGTGATGGGCACAGCGTGCAGTTTAGAACCTCATGTCCCATCTGAATGTCATCCTCAGTTATTCGTGTGTCGCTGAGATGTTGCCATTAAGCTTCTGCTTTATGCTCAGCTTGGAAACAATTGCTCCAGAAACATTCAGACATGGTAAAGGAGCCACAGAGAAAGTCTTGCAGTGTTGCAGGAGCAAGTGCTCCTCGGGGAACCCTGTCAGGTGCCTCATTTCTCAGCTAACTCAGCTGAAGGGCTGCAGGCTGTGCTCCTATGGAGTGTGAAGAACTGTCAGTCGCTGCCAGGCAACCTGCCATCTTTTCACACGGGCACTTTGCTTCTCTGCGGGTTGCAAGCTGTAAATAGAAGTTCGGTGGCTTAATTTACTTGCAGCTCTTCAAATAGTCCTCTGCTTTTTGTGCAGAGATGAGTGCCGTGCTTTGTCCCAGGGCAGCGTGAGAGTTATAGAAGGATATTTTTAGTTTTCCCCCAGGTCTTTGGCAGAGCTCTAGAAATGTGACTGTGCAAGGGCTTGTTGTCCGCCCTGCCTCTCCTTTCCTGGGTTGCTGCTGGGATGCTATTCAAACTATGAAGGCTTTGTGGAGATAGGCCACAGCGTAGCTTGCCAAGTCACTGTGTAAATAAAAACCTAGAACTGCAGTGGAAAAAAGCTTAGACTGGTGAGGTAGGGTAGTGTAAACCAGGACCTCATGCCAAAAAGCAGCAAGACCTCTCGTCCTCACTGTGTGAGTGAGCCCCTCAACCATGAAGGTGCTGCCTGGCGCTTATGTCCCACTGCCTTTTTCTTGCTGTTTAGGCTGGGGGGTTGAGCCAAATCTGTTCAGGGTCAGTTGAAAGAGCAGTTGTCTGTCAAATAGACCGCATAAGTGAAGAAGTATAGTATCCTTCTGACAAGGTGATTGTTTGTCAAGAAAGCATAGGAATTCTAAAGAAAAGGGAGGAGGGGAAAGAGGAGGAAAAAAAGAAACTTTAGGATGTAGATACCTCTGATGATTCATCGTGTACTTTCAATCAGATAAAAGAAATTAATGGCAGAATTTACAGCATCTTACAGAAATGATATTACAGCATCTGCTGTAGTTGAGGTTCCAAAAGTGATCTTTATAAAGATGCCTGTGCCTGTTCCAAATTATATCTTGACTCAAATGTTGTCCCTGCAGCAGGGATACTACACGTCCAAACTTGTGTGCTGTTTCTGCGTGCCTAGTCCGTGCTCTGTAGAGGAGCTCAGAAAGTTTTTGGACTTCCCTGTCAGCCCTTTCTGTAAGGGCCATGGTGCTCTGTATGTGTTGAATATAAGAGGCGCTGAGCATCTAGAGAAGGCTGGGACACTCCTTCCCCTGAAGGACAAAAACAGGAAGGTTTCCTGCAAGGGTCTGGTTTCTGTAGCCAGCTCTGGATGAGGCACCTCGACCCTTGCCCGGCTGGGAGCTGCTGTGCCCAAGTGCCAGCCCTTTGCAGTGCCAGGGAAGGAGGCTCTGGCCTCCCTGCTGGGCGCTGCTATGCAGGAAGGAGTGCCTCTGTACTCGCGTGGGAGCTGCCAGAGCAGCTTGCTGCCACTCTGGGGCTGTGCTGCTGTGGCAGAGTTAGCCCTCCTGCTGCAAACTGTAACGCTCCTGTATTTTTTGACCTTGCTTGCCTGGGTGGATTTGCTGTCTAGTATTAGTACCCCCAAGGACAGAAGTAAATGCTGTTCTAGAGACAACATTATGCAGCACTGGATTAAGTGCAAGTACTTATGTCAGGAGCAATCCCTCAGTCTTTTGAAGAGAGAACAGGAGATCCTGTTTCTCCTTGTGCCTCTTGCTGACTTTATTCAGGATTGCTATGTCTCGTTTGCACTTTATTTCCTTTTTAGAGAGGGGAACAGGAAAAAAGCAGAGTAGATGGTAAGAAAAGGCCAAGTTGGAGTGGGCCAGTCTACTTCCCTCTTCAGGTTGTTCAAAGTTGGGATGAAATGTGTATTCCCACATCTCCCATGTTGGTGAGCAGAAGTAACTTGTGTTGGCTAGCAAGTACCAGTCTTTTTAAGGCAGGTGTTGAACTAGACGAGTTGAACGTGTGAAGACTAACTGAGCACAGGAGATAAAATGAACGCGCGTATAAGTCAGCAAGCAGGTATTTGGTTAGTTATTTCAAAACTTCCTGTCTGTAGCTTGTATACACGTGAGATGGAATCAGCTTTGGCCCTCTTTTCCCTGGGCTTTATAAAATGATAATTGGTGCTTGCTAGGACCCCGGCTTAGCCAAGCTCCTGACAAAACAGAGGATGGTGACTGACAGCTTTAAACCGCTGCCTGCAACGCAGAAGATTCGCAGTGCAGCTCACTGAGGTGGCTGGAAGAAGTGCAGTAATTGCCCACTGCCCCCTCCACTCTGAGGAGAAGCTGCCAAAGAGGAGAATCACCCATGGGATTTGGAGGTTTTTCCTTGGCCGTGGAGCCTCCCAGCGGTGTGATCAGCTTCTCACGACTTCTCTGCTGCCTCCTCTCCTTCCGAGAAGGGGGCAAGTTAGTGCCTAGGAGCGGGTGTTGCTGGGGTCAGTCTGCTTCTGGGGCTGCCCAGAGAGAAGCGCCCCGGACACTGGGACCCTGTTCCACGCTGCACTTGAGCTCCCAACACACATGCTGGCAGCTTGGAGCCCTCTGGCTTGAGAAGGCTCAGCAGAGCACACTGCAGCTCAGCTGGGATGTTTTTCCCAGATAAGGCTGGGTACCTGTGACAGGTTTAAAACATCCCAAAGATATGATCCCTGTGGTTAACACACTATACTTACAAGTTTAGCAGATGCTCTGGGCTTGACCCCTGTGGGTGCAGGAGTAAGGAAAGGAGAGGGAGCGACTTCCTTGTTCTGGAGATGTTTGAAGGAAGGGCTGCATTAGAGCTGTACCCAGCACTGCTACCCTGGGTCACACTTGCACCCCAAGCAGGCAATATGGAGCTTTTCTTGAGAAATACAAACAATTGCTGCTTTTGTGTCTGCTGAGGCAGGGTCGTTTGTGGTGTAACCCCACCTCAGACTGGTAGGACATTGCAGGAGGACAGATCAAAGAAGGAATCTTCTAAAATTAGCACCTTCAGGCTTTGCAAAATGGCTTTGGTTGTTCTTGGTCAGAGGTTTTAATGAAGAGCTACTGGTAGCAGTTATGAGTAAAACTGAAATTTGGCCCGTCCTCAGACCCAGGACAGTTTTCATAGAATTTACAGGTCACTAAAGCATCAGTCTTCAAGCAGAGTGATCTTAACATCATCCTGTGGCTTTATAGCTTATAAACTTTAGTACTAGGTCAGTCTTAAAGGTTGTAAAGCTAGACAGTGAAATGTTTAAAGCTGTAGAATAGTTGCAGAGAATATTAACTATATGTGCTCTAACTGATGGTTAAGACAAAGTTGAGCCTAGGTTATTTCTTAAAAAGCCATCTGGCCGACGTTGGTAAGTGCTCGATTTTGAGCACGCTGCTAGCATGATACCTAAACACTGTTCATGCTCTGCCTCAGTGGGCTAAAACTCCCTTCATTCCCTCATAGCGAAAACACTCACTGATTCCATTTATTGGTGTGTTTTGAAACCAGGCTGACCAAGAGGATGATATCTGTCTCTGGAAATGTAAACGATCTTCTGAGTTCTTCTGTAATTATGAAATCTTGTCAGAATCCTCTTGGCTTTCGTTTGGCTTGCTCTTGTCTCCAGCCTTCCTTAAACAAAGCCTTTTAAAATTTTCCCTGCACACACCTCTAAGGCCCTAGCTAATAACAATAAAATTCCTCATACAAAACTGCAGGGTAGGATGTCATGAAACCGCTATCAGCCTGGCAGTAGTGTATGAGCAGATACTTCCTCCTGCCTGATACCAGAGAATTAACTCTTATCTAAAGAGAAATTATTTGGGAAATAACCTAGTTTCCTGGTGTGCTGGCCTATTAAAGTTACTATGTTTGCTGTTGTTTTATCTCTGTATGTACTGTCTGAACTGAAAAGTCAAGCTATTGGTGCAGCTAAAAGACACGGTAGTCTCTTAACCTGCCTTGCTAGAGCTCCTCAGGTTATTTGGAGAGGAATGTGTAGATAGATTACAATGATTTGTAAATATGCCTTTGGATTAGCTCATACAAGACAGAATATTCCTGAGAGTCCAAATGTTGCAGTACTTTGTGTTCTGCTAGGTCAAACTGTTATCCTGTGGAATAGCTCTCTGTGTACCTGACCCAATGAAAGCTTTTTCTTTGCAGAACTAAATATCTAAATACATACCTACAATCTAGCATTGAGGAGTTTTGAAAAAAGGAAGGGCTTGCCTGCCAAAACTCAGCATAGTGCAGGCACTGCAGACACAGCAAAGTGAGCTCTGGTGACTGCTGCGCACACATTTTCATGTCCTTTTTTTCTTCTTCTTTTTCCCGTCTGTATTAGAAAGAGAAAAGGAGAAGAGGTTGATGGAAATGTGACTGTGAAAAAGAAGCAGAAAAAAGAAAAAGAGAAAGAATCAAAGCAGGAGAGAATGCTGAAGGTGAGTTTTAGCTAATCAGATTTGTAAAACTGCCTCTTGCAGCATAGTGACAGGCACTAATTAAAGCAGGATTGCAGCAGAGGAGGCAGCCAGTCCTCGTGTCCTGGCACACGGGATCCCCTTTCAGTAAAGCTTCGCTGAAGGTGGTTCTTCTTGCAGCCATTGCCGAAAGATCAGGAAGGAAAATTCTAGGATTTGTGTTTATTGGATTCAAATAGATTAGGCTAAGCACCTTCTCCCTCAGGGAAGCTGGTTCTGTGCTCCTTCCTGTATTGTCTGGTTGTAGTAGCTGAAACTCAGAGGCTGAGTACTGTGGAAGAGCTGGGAAACAAATAAACAACTTGTTGCAAAAACTAAACAGAAGTAGAGTGTTAAATAAAGTAATGAGTAGTCGTACCTTTTTTACCCTCTGAAGAGCTACGTTCTGTTCTTAAATAGAAAGTATGATAAATCACAGCTCTCTGCCTTTGTTTTCTGGATACTGAGGGAAGAATTTCTGAGGGAACTTCAGGAGTTTTGTGTTTGTGGAAAGTTTGAATAGATATTGTGCACGAAAAAGCAAACAGCAGCTTCTGCTAGAATTGGAGTCTTAATGGAGCTTAATGTAGAAAAAGGCTGTAGCTGCCTTTGAACAGAAGTTTTATTTTTTGTTGTGTGATGATGGCTTAATCTTTAGCAAAGCACAGGTGAGATGTAATGCAGGTTTTGATGCTGTCATAGATACAAGTCAAGGTGTCCAGATACAGTGGGCTTGTTGAAACCTTATTCACATACTGCTCTCTCAGAAGTGTTATTCATAAAACGTGACTAACTGCAAGTGCCCTAAACTGCCAGCTTTTCTCAACAGGAGCAGACAGAGCTGATTTGGGGCATCAAGGATGAGCTGAGGAAGGTCTGCTCCACTAATGACCTCAAAGAGCTGCTGATCGCCAACAAGCAGGAAGTACCTTCCGGGGAGAATGCCGTGAGTTGGGGCGTAGTTGCTTTGCATGTGTGCTGCATCCGGGCATTGGTGAAGCTGGCCCAAACTCCCTTTGCTGCAAGGTCCACAGGTTTGAAGCACTTTCCTAGCATAATGCTGCAGACAGAAATGGAGCATAAAACCCAGTCCTTTTGTCCCTAGAATGATGATATTGCTATTACACGTCCTCATTAAGGAGCCATGTGGTAGTCATTTGCCCAGTTCAGCCCCTTGATCCTAGTGATGTGCCCATACACAAACTGGTCTGTATTTTGCTGCTGCTGCCTTGTCAAGAGCAAGCTGGCTGTGGCTTGTACTTACCAAGACTCTGTGTGAGGAGTTTGGGATGGGATGTGGGAAGTGTCCAGACACAAAATGGTCAAGAAGCGCACACTTTCTAGGTAGGAAAATTGGACCTGTCTAAACCAGCCTATCCTCCTCAGTGCTCCTGTGCTCACAAGCAATGTCAGGTCTCTTCATTTGCTCTTTCTGCACTATTGCCCGGTCAGGTGCAGTGCAGTAGGGATTGCTCTCTTGAATGCAAAGCCCAACTGGGAGCAATTGCAAGTCAGAGGTGTGAGCAGGTACAGAATCACAGGGAAAACTTACTGTCCTGTCTTTAAGACACTGTAAATCAAATAGTTGTGACAGTGGTGGTTTATGTGAAGCATACACTTGATGGGAAGTGTGTACCCACAGCCCTGCAGTTCTTTTTTCTGTTGCCCACCCAGCATAATGTAGCATGCAAGCTTCCAGTCTCTTTCTGCCATGACCTGTTTTGCATTCTCTGTTGCTTTAGATTTTGGACCGAGTAGCAGATGGGATGGCCTTTGGAGCTCTGCTTCCGTGCGAGGAGTGTAAGGGGCAGTTTGTATTCAAGAGTGATGCATATTATTGTTCAGGGGATATCACTGCCTGGACTAAATGTGTTGCTAAAACACAGACGCCCAACAGGAAAGACTGGGTGATCCCAAAGGTGGGTGTTTACTGTGAATTTGATGATCTGAAATGCATTTCTTAATGTTTTTACAAGAAGTATCAGTTGAGTGAGCAACAGGCACTGTTGAGTGTTGGAGAGTAGAATATGCTGCAGTCGTGCACCACTGTGGCAATGAGGAAATCCAGTGATAAACAGCAAAATTATACTGAATTGAAAGAGTTGTTACTTGTTTGACTTGAAACCAATCGTTTTTCTTTTTCTAGCTTTGTTTTCTCTGTCAGTAGAATGGATATTTGTCTACTTTAGTATGAATGTCTCGGAAATCCTTTTTGAAAGCTACAGTAAATGCCAAGATCTGGCCAATGCTAGATTTAATCTTGAAGTCTTATCTTGTAATTGTGTGTGTTTGTTTTAATTCTATTTGTGCTTCTGTTGCACAGGACTTTCGGGAAATTCCCTATCTCAAGAAATTTAAGTGTAAAAAGCAGGATAGGATATTCCCTCCAGAGGCTGCAGCTGCGAATTCTGTTCCTCCTCCTTCTGTGTCTGCTCCTATGGCAGAGACCGTGTCTGCACCCACAGGTAAGCAACTAGCAACAAGACCTGGTGGACAGGAAAAAGCTGCTACTGCATTTTTGGAGACCCTGCTATGAAAACAAGGAGAAGCAACTCAAGTATCAGGTCTTGTAACAGGACTTCTGGTAGAAGAGAACCTGTCATTGAACCTTTGCCTCTGTCTCCAGCAAATTTGAAAGATCTTCCTACAGCCCTCATGACCTATTCCTTCAGGACAGTGTGTAATGCAGCTCCTGGCCAGACGTGTGTCATCCTGGGCGCACGTGTTCTGCTGCCTCCTATCAGCTGGAGCTCTCCTGGCACACCATAGCAAAGTTTCTTGTTCTTCATGTTTCTAGCATAGGGATACTCTGCATTGGTGTGTTTTCTGGGGATATGTACTCAGGATCCTGGTTCTTATCTTAGAAATCATTTTGGGCATTTGATCATGGTGAGGGAATGATGTGTTTACAACAAATCAAAAGTCTTGAGGCCCTTGCTTGAAGTCTGTCTCACGTGAGTGCTGCTGTGAAATGCCTTCTTGCTTACCTTCTTCTGGGAACATCTACAGTGCTAGGTACTCCACATCTACAGTATTGGGTTTTATAGAAAAGGAGTTACTTAAAATCCTCTTACCTGGATTTGGCTTTACTAACCACTGACCTCACTTGTGCAAAATAGATGTGCCATCTGCACCCTGCAAAGTGGCAAAAGGTCAGGCTCCAGCAAGCCCACGTAGGCTGTTGGAAGGAGTTGCCTGCTTCAGCGATGTAACCTGTCAGTTAAAAACTGTGATTTTTTTTTTTTCAGCTTATTTAGTCCTGACCATAGATTTGCAGAGCAAGGAGTTCTGTGATGAAAAGAGTTTTTAAACCTTCAAAAAAGGGTGAGATTTTAGCCAAGTCATGTTATCATAGCAATGAAGACAAAGGTCTTTTTTTTTAATTAGCAAGTTGATTTCAACTCCAGTATGCCCTAAAGGTAAATTCTAGCTGTTGACTAGAGTTAAATTTGTGTTACTTGGTTGCTAGCAAGCTGAGTAATTTCTATTAAAAAGCAAACAAAAACTCAGTTTATAAACCAGAGTCCCTACTTCATTATGCTCAGCAGTGCAGATGTGCTCTTAGGCACTCACGGTGTCCTGGGGCTACCTGTGTCACAAAGTTCATTGTGTCAGTGTTTGCCCTGCAAGTTGGTGGAGCCCCAATTGGTTACCAGTTCAGTCCTGGTTTGCTATGGAGATGGCACCGTTCAGAGAGCACAAGGCTGTAAACCAGCTGCAACATCAAGACCAGAAGGTATCATACCACGTGCAGGAAGGCAGTGGTGCACAGGAAACGATCCTCCTTCTCCAGCTCCTGGAAAACAGAAGCACTGAAGGAAGAGAGAAGCAGTGCAGTGTCTCTACTAGCACTATGCTAAAGCAGGCTGATTAAAAGAGAGGCAGACAAATAATACAGCTGCATATCCATCTTCCCTGCCTTCCACCCATTCCCTATGAACCCTTTTGTGCTTTGGGAGATGCTGGGCCTTGTGATTCTTCCTTTGTGAAAGGGAACTGTTCTCCCACTCGCCTAGTACTTGGACTCTTATCTCTTCCCGCCAGGCTGATCTTCCAGCTCTTGCCCCGTCCTGTCTTGGCTGTGCTTGTTACTCGTCTGGGGGATTCTATCCTTGTTGCTAATCTCCTGCATTGCTTCCAAACCTATAGATAAACCACTGACAAACATGAAGATCTTGGTTCTCGGGAAGCTGTCCAAAACCAAGGATGAGGTGAAGAGCATTGTGGAGGACCTGGGAGGAAAGATGACTGGAAGCGCTAACAAGGCCACCTTGTGCATCAGCACACAGAGTGAGCAGCCTTGCTTTGTTTATTTTTTTTCATAGCTTGGTAGCAGAACTGTGTGGGTTAAGAAAGGACACACTGTCCTCATGTTTCTGTTGAATTGTGTTTGGATTAAAGCATGTGTTTGTGTGCACGCACGGTTTTCAGTGTGTTTGGAAAAGTAAAGACGTGTGCTGGTTGAGTCTGCGCAACTTTGATCCCCTAAGGTTGTGCAGCAGGGCTCTCACAGGTCTGTGACAGCTGGAGCTCAGTGCTCTACACAGACCATGGCTGCCCTCGGTGGGACAAAAGACCCTGTGGCTGCTGCCCACACTTGCTTTGGAGAAAAGCTCTGGAGGCAGCTGTGGCTGTGCAAGGGCAGGAGCCCCCAAGCTGAGCAGGGCTCTGTGTCTGCATTGGGTTTCTGCTGGCAGCTATGGGCCTGCCCTGATGTTGTGTTGGACCTGAATTCTGAGATAGCAGAACTGCTCCCACTTGCCAGGCAGCCCACGGGGGCTGTGTAGCTCTAGCCCAGTTGCCACAGGGGAAGATACCTAGAACAGCAAGGTGGAATATGGTAGTTCCTCTTTCAGTGCAGTCTGCAGGGGCTTTTGCTTTCCAGAGAACGTGATGAATCCAAAATGCAGTGAAAGTGCATTTCTGTGGAGCGTTGCTCTGGCCATACTTCATGGCCATGCAATGGGGGCTAGAGTGTGAAAGCTGACTTTTTTTTTTCCCTTCTCCCTTTCCTATGTTGCCTTTGCAGAGGATGTGGAGAAAATGAGCAAGAAGATGGAAGAAGTGAAGGAGGCCAAAGTCCGTGTGGTTTCAGAGGAGTTTCTTCAGGATGTGAAATCCTCCAGCAAGGGCTTCCAGGAGCTTCTGTCTCTCCATGCACTTTCACCTTGGGGTGCAGAGGTGAAAATGGAGCACCAGGAGGTATCTGTGGATGGGAAGTGCTCCAAGCCATCGAATATGAAGAGTGCTGGGAAAGTCAAAGAAGAGCAAGGTTAGTAACAGTGTGGTTTCTTCCCTACAGGCCTGTTGCGTGCTGCATACACAAAGCACCTCTGGATAAATCCAGCCTCACCCTTTCCTGAATTCTCTTACCCCTTTTTTATGATTAAATAATGAAACCCCAAGGCAAGGCTGCCTTTGGTCATGAAGTTGTCTGCAAGAGTGCACCCAGAAGAGAAAATGCTGGGGTCCAGAACTGTGAATCTTTGCTCTACTGTGTAAACATTAAAAAACTATATATTTTTTACTTACTATTAATGGAAAAGGGTGGAAAAACCCACCACCCCAGCACTATCACCTGAGCTGTAGCAAGCTTGAATTTTAACGATGGGAAATGAACAAAAACTTTTGATCTGATTGCCTTTCTTCACAAACCACGCTTCTCCAGTGCCTCCAAGCTTTGGTTTCTGGCTTGCAGTTGGGTGTGTTATTACCAGGCTGTCTCAGAGAATGTCCCACATAGCCAGCAAGATGTTTAAATCCCACTTGAACACTCAAATCTGTAGTTCTGTTTATTTTCCACGCAGATAAAAAGAGCAATAGAGTCCACCCTTCTAGGCCAAAAGGGAGAGAACAGCTAACGCCTGAGGAGTCTCGTCTTTCATTTAAATTACAATATGGGATGGAGAGGTTGTGAATTAGCTGCCAAAGCAAGATGAAGAGCCATTGAAGTCCTACTGTCCTTACATAAGGAATCTGATCTGATAGCCTTTCCTGGCCATAACTGCCCAAATTGAGAATGTAAATGTTGACTATTCTGTAAATTTTGTTTTATGTGCCTGGAAAAAACTTCCTTCTCTCCCTTTCCTTGCAGGTCCTAGCAAGTCTGAAAAGAAAATGAAGCTAACAGTTAAGGGTGGAGCAGCAGTAGATCCTGATTCTGGTGAGTGGTAGAAATGGCCTGTGCTTTCTTATTTGCAAAATGTATCTTTGTTTATATTTTTTTGTAAAAGTATAAAAGGCTTGGATTCCTAATTGTAAAAGTTGAAGCTGAATTTTTAAATGTTTTTTTTTTTCTTTGTCGGAATAAGAATATTGATTAACACCTGAATTTGAATGTTTCAGGATATTCTAGTGCAGTTTTCAGGACAGATGAAGCTAAGGAGTGCACCCACTTCAGCTAATGAGCACCTGTCAGTAGAGGGAATGAAGGCTCAGCCAGCAGAAGCTACAGGTCTAGTGTGAAAAGCTGCATCTGGGTCCAGGATTTTTGGAGGGCAATTGGTGCTACTCTCCAAAACTACAGTGCACAGCAGGCCTTCTGGGAATTCATACTATACATGCAGCTGGCCCTAGTTTTTGAGCTCATTTTCTCCAGGAACACCTGCAAAGCCCTCAAGAATGTCTCCAGTTAGTCACGCAATGTTTGTTTTAGATTGTCTTCTGCCCAAAGCTCTGATTTCCTCTACACCTCTATCCTGTTTCTTAAGCTGAAATTGAGATTTACTCCTGTATATCTCAAAAGTACAGGCTTGTCATTTATTAAAAAGGAAAAAAAAACTTCTAAAGTAGTGTGGAATGAGCATATGTTTGTTATTTTTCTATTTTTTTTTAAGATCTGCACAACTGTATCAAAATAACTGGGTGAATACGTTCAGAAAGGAGGTATAAGGCTGTAACCTTTGGCTTTTTTTTTCTTTTTTTTTTTTCTTTTTTTCCTCTGTAGGTTTGGAGGATTCTGCTCATGTCTTTGAAAAAGGTGGAAAGATTTTCAGTGCAACCCTTGGGCTAGTAGATATTGTGAAAGGAACAAATTCTTACTATAAACTGCAACTGCTAGAGGATGACAGAGAGAGCAGGTAAGTTTAGTTTTCCCTAGAAATATTTGTGTTCATTGCTTTTTTTTTTTTTTTTTTTCCTGATATTGGATTGTGTGCGAGTAAAAATGTCTTTGAGGAGAGAGAAATAAAGGTATATACACACACACACACACACACACACACATATTAAAAAAATATGTCCTTCTGGGAAGATCTTTGCTCTATAAGGAGAGTTCTCTCTGGTGTTGGCAAAACCAAAGCTAGGAAGTCAGTTTGCTGAACTGCATCTGAAAGTGTTCGTTCCTGCATCCTGGGGTAAGCGAGTTACAGGTAGTTGCTATGAGTAGGTTAATTGGCTGATAGGAGGGCTTGTGATATCTGCCATGTCTCGCCCATATTTTTCCATTTTCTTTTGTTTCCAATTGCAGAGCTGTAATCCTGGGAAACAAAGCCAGATTCTGGCAGTTCCCATGTTATGTAGTTCTCATTTTGTATCATGAGGCTTAAAAAAATGGCCAGGGAACAGTGATGTGTCTTTAGCTTTGCAGTGTCATCTGCCATGGGCAGAGGTGGCCAGGTGTTGTATTACTGCAGACTGCTAAGGAAATGGGGAGCGTTCCTTCTTCCAAGCAGGGAAGAGACGTGCAGTAATCTGGGAGGGCTAATGGCTGTCATTACTCACACTCTTTCAGCTCTGGATTCAGTTGCACATTGCTTTGATGACAATCCCTGACTGAAGAGATTGTAGCCTCTTCTCTCCTGTGCGTGTATTTACTTTCAAGCCTGTTGGTCTAATGTGTTTCCATTGGGTTGTTAGTGGTTGGTTTTTATTTTTTTTGACCCCAGTGCTTGGACACATGCTCTCTGGTGACTGCTTTCTTTGCTGTACTGCAGCTGCTGTTAGAGAACATCCCTCCACGTGGCTGGTGTGGGATCAGTTTCATTTGGACCCAGATCTAGAAACAGAGATCTTACATCTGTTCTTCTCTCACATTTCACTTCCCTAGATACTGGGTGTTCAGATCTTGGGGTCGCGTGGGCACTGTGATTGGGAGTAACAAGCTGGAGCAGATGCCATCAAAAGAGGACGCCGTTGAGCACTTTCTAAACTTGTACGAAGAGAAAACGGGCAATTCTTGGCATTCAAAGAACTTCACTAAATATCCCAAAAAATTTTACCCACTGGAAATTGATTATGGACAGGTAACTCCAAAATAATCCTGTTCCGGGTGGAACATTGCTCAGCTGTTTTCCTATCTGTTGTGTTCTGCACTATTGAATCTTTCACTCTTTACTAAACCTGTGGAATGAAGTGCAGACGTTTGCTGTGTAAGCCCAGCAGGGAGACCTCTGGAAGGAGAAGTATGTCACTCTGTGCCCTATTCTGTGGGTAAGAAACTGTAGTGTTCTATCAGAAACTGTTCAGTCAGGGGAGGTAGATGGTTCCAAACAAAATATTGAGGTTCTTACAGCTAGTTCAGTTATGTTTTATAGGAAAGTAACTGTTGCAAAATCTGTGCTACAGAAAGAGCTGGAAATCAAATAGAAATAGTCAAGTTTGTGAAGAGAGGGGGGAAAAAAGCTCTTTGAAGACCGAACAGTTTTATCTAGTCAAGTCAAAGGCCCCTTTAGGACCTGCTTCTGTTTATTCTGTATAGCTTTAAGATCATTTATTTGAAATTAATTCAGCAGTAGTTTTGCATGCTTCCCTGTCCAAACCCATTTTCTTCGATTTAAAATAGATGCTTTTTCTCTGTCTTCTGCATCAAAAATGCTCCCAAATAGTGAAGCAAATCCTGTGCAGCATTCTGCTCAGTGCACATATTGAACAGACTGAAAAAGAGAAGTTATTCATTCTCTTCCTTCTGCCCAGTGGGTGTTTGTGCTTATTTAAAGACCTACCCTTCACTTAAGCTATCTTTTAGATATCAAATAATTGAGTACAGTCAGTGGTTATGAGGATATCAGAGAATGTATTTCCTAACCACTGCATTTTCCTGTGGTCAAGTGACTGTGTGAAGCACCTGGTATTTTAGCATTATTTCTGGCAATTTATTGATGAAACATTTTACAGTATTCAAAGCATCTGTTTAACTGCCCCATACAATGATTCTGTGAAGCATCTGGCAGGTGCTTTGTTGGTGAAACACGAACCATGAATGCATCTAGATAGTACTGTGACCAAATGATGATGTGACCAAATAACTCCTCTATAACAATTTTTTATTTAAAATTGAGACATAATGATTAGTTACTTTTTATCATAAAAGCTAATGAGGTAAAATAAAACACATCTTTTCTCACACTAAGGTCTTTATGTAGCCAGATGGTCAAGGAAAAAAGAATTAATACTGTTGCTTGAGGTGAAGCAAAGATTCACGGTGAAGGTTAATGTTAGATCAATTTTAGTTGTATTTTCCTGTTATGCCTCTTGACATAACCTATGCCAAGCCAGAATAGGTAGATTTGAACCCCCCACATGTCAGAGCAGTGTCCCGTGCTTCCTGGGAACTCGAGGCTAGTAACAGTATGCAATACAGGGCATTGGTTTTGAGTTGTTACCATGGCAGCCAGCTTGGTACCTTTATCCTGTGTGGGGTTTGATGGTTCTGATGCTATTTTTGCCTCCCAGGATGAAGAAGCTGTGAAGAAACTGACAGTGGGTGCTGGGACTAAATCCAAACTTGCAAAGCCGATCCAGGAGCTTATTAAGATGATCTTTGATGTGGAGAGCATGAAGAAAGCAATGGTGGAATTTGAGGTGACCACACATGTTCATGCCTCCTGCTTTCGCACCATAGCCAACAGACTTGCCAGAAATCAGCATGAGTTTTAGAACAGCCTTAAAATTAGCGGAGGAGGGCTGCACTGCAGCTAGTTTAGTTGGCAAAGGAGCAGGTGGCTGAGACTTGAGATGCGCTGCCAGCTGATAATGCACTAATGATACAAGTCCATTTCCTCTTCCAAACTAGGCCAATTTCAAGATTTTTCTGTTATAATATTTCTAATTTCTTCTAGTGAAAACATCTTTTCCTCCATTTCCTCCATTTTTCTTTCCCCCATAATTCACGGTCTGTGCTTAGAAAAGGCTTTCAAAGAATGGTCTGGTAGCACTATCTGTCTCTGTCTTTGCATAGAAACAGTTTCACTGTTCTCACGTATTCTGCAGATTTTTATTTAATGCAGCCATTCAAACTGATTTAATTCCAAAATACAAATTTGAGTTTTCTTAACCAGATTAGTTATCCTGCCCTAAGGCTTTAAATAGCTGTTATTTGCTCTTTATGTCAATATCTTGCATATCTCCTTTTCAGAACAAGCTTCACCCTATTGCTTGAGTGTCTTCAGATGTCTTGCTTATGTTTTGTGCTACCTGGGGTTAACTGTATCCACCTATATCTTCAATAGTGTAGTCCAGATCTTTTAAACCAGTGATTCTTCATAACTGAAACTGTCTAAAGCCTCTGAACTGATGATCTGGTATCATCAGGCTTTGTAGAAATCTGTTGAAATTCTGTTAATTTGCACCAGCTGGAGATCTGTAGGAGGCCTGGGAGTCCAGATGGGACCGTCATCCTTATTAAATTAGTCTTCCTGTATTGCTGCTGCTGAACAGCTGTTTTCCTTTAGAGGAAACGATGTTTCTCGTAGATAGAGGTTTCTCTGCATCCTCCCCAAAGGGGTGCTTGCTTCCTTTCATCAGCCTGATCTCAAGTGTTTTTCAGGCACACTCTGTATCTGCTAGGACTGTAGCAGGTTGTAAGTCCTTCCATTGCCTGCCAGTAGGTTTTGCTGATGAATTTTCTTCCTGTTTTGAATTCAGCTTTTAAAAGTTTTCTCTTGCCAAGTGTAGAGAGTTTGAATTCAATTCTCCACGTGGCCATTCTCCTTTCTACTTCATTTCAGCTTTTCTGTGTTTCTGGCTGTACTTAGGCTGAGCTGCAGATAAAGGTGAAAGTTTTCCTACACCTAACATAGAGTGGAAATCTTCATATAAAATTACTTCAGAGGTTTCCCAGCAAGTCTCTAACCTTCTGTGATCAGTTTGTGTTGGACTTGCATACAGCTGGGTTTCTTGCCTTCACAGTGGACAAATAATGTGGAGCTTATCCAAGTGGTAGGTGATAGGCTTGGTTTCCTAGGTTCTCCTGTCCTTGAGCTGAATCTTACTTTAAGTAAGCACTCGTTTGACCCGCAGGGCTTATGGTGGATGTTGTTAGAGTCCAGAGTGTGTATGTGTGCTCTCTGTAAAACCTTCAGTTCAAGTGGAGTGTTTTTTATGCTTTTGCATTCAGAAGCATTGTGCAAGAAGATGTAATGTAAATCTGAAAGTGTCCCAAGTTCCAGCAGTGCAAAAGCAACTTCAGTAGAACCTGGGAAGTGACGGAGGGGTAAATCTGTAAGTCAAGACCAGGGGAGCCGTTTGCTTTCCCAGTGAGGGAGCAGTGTCACGTTGCTAGTGGCTTAGCAAAACAGCAGCACTTTCTACAACAAATCAGTGGGTAAAATGCAGGCAATGAGAGTATCGCTTAAGACTTAGTGGTGTTATTCTTTTCGCTTTCGGTTAGGAAGCATCTTGTAACCTCTTTGACTTTGGCCTTTAGTAATATTAGGGTAAAGTCAAGGCCTGGAAGAGAGCGTCTTAACCCTATCTAAAGCAAATCTTTACAGCAGCTCGTTCTGTCTTATGAAGGATTATTTCATTCACCAAATGAAATATATATCCCAAAATGTATGGTTACTGAAGTGATTCAGCATAAACTTAATCAGATGCTTTTTACCCTATTTTTGTGTTCCTTCAGCTCACTAGTTTCCTATTACAATATTCCTTTATTTATAAGCAGACTTCTCAGTAACATGCAGTGTCCTTCTGACATCGTTCCTTGATGCAGAGAGATTAATACCAAGTCTCAAGTGTTTCCATTCTTTATATGGTGAGTCCTGCCAGGAGAGAGAGATCTGTGCCTCCCAGAAACCATACAAGGACTGGTGTGATGGTTTTGCTGTAGTAGAAACACCGTTTTAATTGTTTAAATCTCCATCAGATTGACCTGCAGAAGATGCCACTGGGAAAACTGAGCAAGCGGCAGATCCAGAGCGCGTACTCCATCCTTAACGAGGTCCAGCAGGTGAGCAGAGGCAGGTGTTAGAGCACGGTGCGGGGAATTCAGAAGTTGTTCTGGGCTCGTTGTGACATGCGTGTGCTAGAGATTGCATTTCTGTGGCAAAACTTCAGCGACAACAGGGAGAGGACGCACACTTGAAGCCTTGTTATTGAAAGTTAAATAATTACTGGTTTGGATAAAGAACTGTGGTGTTAATTAAGCTATTTGGAGAGGATGACATGGTTTCAATAAGCAGCTAATTAGTTCTTTTCATTCTTTTATACTTTCTAGTAGAGAAGATGGTAGAAAGTGGCTGAGCCAGACCTGCTACAGGCATAAATGGGATGCTGGTGATTTCCCCCCTTCGAGAAGTCTGGGGCTCAGAATAGCTTTCAGTTGAAACAGGGCAGGATCTGGCTTGATGACATTATGTTGAACGTCATGACCCAGCCTATCCCAAGAAACACTAGATGATATCACCTGAAGAGCTTGCAAAAGTGCATCAGCATAGCCTGGATCCCAAGCAAGGCAGGAAGCTTTGTAAGCTCTTAAAACAGACTGGAACCAGCCTAACACATGCACCCTGCCATACCTAGAAGCCCTTTCTGCCCTCCAGAAGACAAAATCCTCATCAGATTTTTTTTTTTCATACCAGAAGTGATGCATATTTCTGTGCAAGTATTATGAATTAATACATATAAAAAAACAATAGTATTGCCTCTTTCAGTTTTATGTAAGTTTCAGCCAGCATTAAAACTATTTGCATTGCTCCTTTTTAGTAGTTCTGAAGTATCTTGTGTGCATCAATTGCTATGGAGCATTGTTCTGCAGCACTCAGTGTTTCCCTTTGTTTCTTGTTGTCTTTTCTAGGCAGTTTCTGACAGTGGTTCCGAATCCCAGATCTTGGACCTCTCCAACCGCTTCTATACCCTGATCCCTCATGACTTTGGGATGAAGAAACCACCTCTCCTAAATAATTTAGAATACATTCAGGTATCGGCTGGAAACTGTATGCTGATTTTAGTCAGCAGGTCTCATCAGACATCTAATGCAAAGAATTCTTGAGACTTGAAAGGAATAAACTTTTTTTTCCCTAGAATATTTTATATATAAAAATATATATATTCTATATATAAAAATATCCACAAGATATATGTAAAATATAATTCCTGCTGGTACCAGAGAGTCAGTAAATAAGCATGTTCCTTATCATGTCGGTAAAACTGTCACAGAAGATGGTTAGTCGCCTTTTGAAAAGAAACATGTTGCAATGTACAGAGACTCTGGCCTAAACTCCCCTTTAGTGTGTATTGGGTGTAACCCCTTCGCACTCCTCTGAGGCAGAGCCTTGATTTCGAAGCCAAATCTTTTGTTGTGCATTGATTTCTTCTTTTTTTTTTTTTTTTTTTTTTTTTTTCTCTTCCACCAGAAGTGCTGAGATACTGCAACCCACATTGAAGCCGCTGGCAAACCTCTATAGGGCTTCCTGTTTAGGTAGAAGGGTGGCAGCTGAGAAACTGGGTACTACAATATGAAAAATCTGTCCTGAGTACCAAGGGCTCCCATGTTCTTAGTGCACATCTCTGCCAGGTGGCCCAGTTAAATAAAACCTAATGAAAGAGAGGAAAGCTGATAGTATAGCAGGGAGTTTGAAGGAAGGGAGGGAAGGAAGGAATAGTGTTATAAAAGATAGATTATGCTGGAAGGAAACTCTGTCCACTGCTGATAATGCTGCTATAAGATCTTTCCACCAGCCTGGCTGTGTGGATGTAAGAGTTCTCACACTGACAAGAGCTAGAATAAGATTTTCTTTTGCTATAGAATTCACTACAGAAACAAAACCATCTTTCAGTGTTTATTTCTTTTTTTGTTTGCTGTGTGGATATCGGTTGTTGTTTTTTTTCTCCTTTAACTCTGCAGAAGGCTGTGTTGGCAGAGCAAGGCTGTATACAGTGAACTTAGACCTCTACACTTGTTTTCTTTGTGCTATCAACATTGTCCAGCTCCGTTAATGGCCATGTGTGGTTGCTATGGCCAAAGACCACTACTTGGTTAATTTTCAGAAGCAGTATCTGGAAACTTCCTTATCTGCATTACCTGCAGAGTGCGTTTGGGGAAAGATTTCAGGTTGCCCTCCTTCTTTCATTTTCTTTTTTTAAGTGCTTTCAAAATAAATAGCTCAGAGGACATCTGATCTTTGTATTAACCAAACCCTCTTGTTTCATTGGTAGGATCACTGCAAGACGTAGTGTTCTGAGGTGGCAGTGCTTTGATTTACATAGGCTTTTATAATTTGGAGATATTCCAGGGTTTTTCTGAGCATGCCAGAGGCACGAATAAAATAACTTTTTCAAATTATTCAGGCTAAAGTGCAGATGTTGGACAACCTGCTTGACATTGAGGTTGCCTATAGCCTTCTCAGAGGTGGCAATGAAGATGGAGATAAGGACCCGATTGACATCAACTACGAAAAGCTCCGAACTGATATTAAGGTAAACATTGAGCTCGAAAATGAGCTGATGACCTGTTAGTCTGGAGTATAGCAGCTCAGCTAAACTATAAGTGGATGCTCTGGGGAGGGTCTTGGGCAACCTGCTGTAGTCAGCCCTGCTCTGAGCAGAGGGTTGGCCTGAGCAATCCCCAGAGGCGCCTTCCAGGCTCAACCGTTCTTTGGAGTCTGAGTGCTCTCTTGCACAATTTCCCCAGCTAAGAGTAAATTTCTGCCTTAATGATATAATGCACAGGAGACTTAAACTGGGGAGTTGTGAGCTTAAGGTGGTTATCCACACGTGTTGTAACAGGCCTGCTAGCTCATATTTTAAAGGATTTTTTCTTCTCCTCTCTGCAGGTGGTTGACAAAGATTCAGAAGAAGCCAAGATTATAAAACAATATGTGAAAAATACACATGCTGCTACTCACAATGCATATGACCTCAAAGTTGTGGATGTAAGTTTTGGACGAATGGGGAAAACTGGTGTTTTGTTATGTAAAATTCAACTTTTATAATTTACTTGCTTGTGAGGGCTTTGTTTATTATTATGATTTTTATTTTTGAGTAACTTCTCAAGTTTCTCTTGTTAACAGAATGGTTTAATAGACTATTAAGGGTAGTGAAAACCTAAGCAAACAGATGAGTCTGAACTCACCGTGGTGTCTTACTTTTTGCCTATCTTTTATTTTAACTGTCCTGAAAGAAAGGATGGGAGGAGGGGATTGCCTTCTAAAGCTGAGGCTTAATTTCTGAGATGATTTTCTGGAAAACTTCCATCTCATGAGAATCCTGGTGGAAGAGTAATCATCAATAAGTATAGTGTGATCAAAGCTAACATGACATAGCAGAATGCAAGTACTAAATACCTTTCAGATCACTTTTCCTTAGCAGGTTATTTTGTATTCATGATTGAGCTGCCTTTTTTTTTTTTTTTTCTTCTTTCTTTTCCATCTGCTTAATTGCACAAAGGCAATAGTTTATTTACAGTATTTGTTTGTTTTTCTCCTATCCCCTTTTGACCTGAAGATCTTCAGGATTGAACGTGAAGGAGAGAGTCAGCGGTACAAGCCATTTAAGCAGCTTCATAATCGCCAGCTGCTGTGGCACGGATCCCGCACGACCAACTTTGCCGGAATCCTCTCCCAGGGTCTCCGGATAGCTCCTCCTGAAGCTCCTGTGGTACGTGAAGCAGATACCTGTTCTGACCTACCTCCCTGTGGCCAGACATGGTCACAGTCAGAGCACATGAATATAAGAGTCCTGGGGTGAGGAGGACATGCACATTCTGCTGAGGATCAAGAGTGGTTGCTGACCCATGTCTGCAAAAACTTAGGTCATAACTTAGTTCTCCTGGATGTCCCCGAGTGAATTCAGTGCTGCCTTTATAACATTGTCCAAAACTTAATTTTTTTTTCCTTCCCCTCATTCTTTTTTTGCTGCTTCCAGACCGGCTACATGTTTGGGAAGGGCATCTATTTTGCAGACATGGTATCCAAGAGCGCAAACTACTGTCACACATCTCAGGCTGATCCCATAGGCCTAATACTACTGGGTGAAGTTGCCCTTGGAAATATGTAAGTAACTTGTGAAAGAGTATTTGCCAAACTTTAGAATTTGATGTTGAAATAGCAAGCCTTTCTTTTCAGAGCAAAAAGATGCATGTTTTAGTTCCTTAAAAACAAGGATTTTTGTTTGTTTGTTTTTTAAGCAAGAATTATTGGAGGAAAGTTGGTGGTGCTAGTCTAGAATGTTTTATTAAATGCACATACCATAAAATTGATAACTGAGAGAAAGAAGGAATACTGCAGCTCTAATAATGCTGTGTTCCAAAATAGTAATACGTATATTAACTTTAACTCATTATGAACTGAAGCCTGAAACAAATGTGCTGCTTTACCAAAGGCTTAAGTCAAAATTAAAGTGCTACTTGGTGTTCTTTGTGCTGTCCAGGTATGAGCTAAAGAATGCCTCTCACATAACCAAGTTGCCAAAGGGAAAGCACAGTGTGAAAGGTAAGGATTAACTGTTGTCATTTCATAGCTGTTCTTTCTTTGCATAAGAGAGTTTGCATAATGTTGCCTTATAGTTGCATCTGTGTGTGTGTGTGTGTATATACACACACATAAAATATGTATATGAATGTTTTTTTTACATAGAAGATAGTGCACCTGAAAGCATAAAAAGGAAGTTATCAGGTTACTTAAAGTTCAGGAGGAGATTTTCATTTGGCCAGTTTACATAAAGTGCATTTTCTAATTCTTTTTTGCTCGCTTTCAAAGTGACACTACAGTATATTTAAAAAGAAATGTGAGAGATTTGATAGATCAGAAGAATTGTTTAGTTTCAAAGTGCCTTAAAAGCTCAGAGAAAAGGAAACACTAATAGTTCAGACAGAACAGCTGTTCTCATGACATTTTTTGTGAGCCAAAAGTATTGGTATATTGCCTTGAAAAGGAAGATGAGAGTACTAAATTCTCTGAATTAAGGGAAATATGATAATCATGACTATCATCTGTTCAGAGATGGGAGACAAGTAATATTCAGTAATGAGCAGCTTTTCTCAAACTGTTCACTTTGATAATTTTGAAAAATCAGCTGCCTAAAATAGAATAAAACATGATTTAACATCCTTGTACTGCTCACAGTATGAATGTTCAGATTTGTATAGAGGAGTGTAAAGAAGATGAGAAATAGTTTGTTATACTTCCCTGAAAATATTAGAATATGCATGTATTTGCTAATGGCTCTGGGATATGAGAACTGTAAGAGTAGCCTGGTCATCTGTTTTAATTGTCCAGCCTATTTGATTAAAGGAATTAAAGTCTAAAATTCTAGCTTGATGCAGGAGAGTTGCTGCTACCACAAATAGGGTTGTGCTGGACTGAATAAATACTCTTTGCATTTTATTTTTAAAGATATTTTGCTGGTATTGTCAAATGCTGGCAAAGAGCAAAAGTAATACTTGGGCAGCCAAGTCACTTGTTTCATGTACAAAATCTGTTTGCCTTTTTATAACCAATGCTTTTTCCCTTTCTAGGCCTGGGCAAAACTGCACCTGATCCCACAGCCACTACCACCCTGGATGGTGTAGAGGTTCCCTTAGGGAATGGGATTTCAACAGGAATTAATGATACCTGTCTTCTGTATAATGAGTATCCTTTTCTGCTGTGCTGGCTGCACTGTGTGTCTCTGTCACTGACTCTAGCAGGATGTAGTTCCAGTTGCAGTCAGAAGCTTTGGCACAAAGTGTTTTATTTCTTTTGAGTCTTTCTGTGCAGCAGCTAAAACAATTCAGAGTTGTCTTCCCAGGGGAAATTTTTGTTGCACTTTGTCATACTGCAAGAAAGGAAACAGTGCATGTGGCAAAAAAACTGTTGCTTAGTCCCTAAGAAAACCAAAGCGTTTTGCTTTGCAAAGAAAAGGGGATGCGGGCAGGGAAAACCAAGCCTGGACCAAATGCAGCACCAAAAGGACCAAGTGAAGACAGAAAATAAAAATGTAAAAAAAAAAAAAAAAAAAAAAAAAAAAAAAAAAAGGTTGAGGCAGTAAAAGAGGCCATGGAGCAGCAGTAAAAGAGGCCATGGAGCAGAGCTAACCACGCCAGCCCTCCCCAGGCCTCAGTGGGACTTGCGTGAAGGTTTGAGCAGCTGGGGGATGCTGCCTGGTAAGGGCCCTGTGCACATGTGTGTGAGGCGAGGGAAAGGGGATGCATCCTGCACTGCATCCTGCAGTGTCTTGTCTCTCCAGCCTGGTTTCTTCCTCAGGCTGCCTGGTTTGGAGCAGGGGACGTGGAGGAGAAGGCTGCACGGCTGCATGGAATCCCACAGCGTCTGTTCTCCCCCAGGCCTTTGCAAATACTAAAGTGAATCCCAGAATGGCCCTCAGAGGCGCATAGCCTTTAATCCTCTTTTTAGGCAGCTAGAAATGCCCTCGGTTAATAAATTAACTGCATGTTCATAGAAGGTCATGAGAATAAATGATGCTTAAGATCTCCAACCAATCTTTTTACCACCGGTGAAGCAAATGATTCATATAATGCAATCTCTGGTGGTTTAGAAAATGGGTGGGATTCTTTTTTTTTTTTTCTCCGCCTTGGTAAATTGTCTTCCTCTTTCAAGCAATCTTGGCAACAGAATTTATGGAAGTACTGGCTTTGGTCTTGAAATTTGTTCAGTATAGTATCTGTCTTGGGCAAGTAATAAGACACTTAGATACTTAGATGAATAGAGTTAAGTGTATATCTAGTGGGATAATCTGTCATATATCAACTTTGCTTTATATTGTTCTTATTGAAGATGATTTTCATCTAACATTGGAGTTGGAGGTAAGTTTGTGACCTAAAGCACTGGGGAACAGGTAGGCAAGTTGGAACTGTCTGCTAAGAAACGTGAGCAGTGCTCTGGCAGCCATTAGAGTTCTCTTCTGTGTGATTCCAGTTCGGATTTTTTAGATGAGGAAATTAAGAGGAGATTAATGACTTTGTGCTGGAAAAATAGCAACAGACCTACAGCTAGAATTTGAGGATTCCAGGTTTGGAGGTTACTTTGCTCCACAATTCATATAGTTGAGGAAGAAATTGAGGATTGTGTTTCTGACTGAAAAAGGTACAGCCTGTATTGAAGCTAGTCCACTTGCCTGTCGCTCAGGTTTTGTGCTGCACCATCAGTAATTCTCTTATGTCTGTTCCTGATTATTGTATAAAACACTTTCATTATCAAAAAAAATCAAATCTACAGATTCCAGGTTTAAGCTGTTAGACCCCCTTAACTGCACAGGCATCTCTTTGCTGACTTCATCAGTGAAGTTGCACTGTATTTAAGGGGTTGGGTGGTTTGGGGAGGGAGAATACCACTTATATTATTAATGTCAAAAATTGCATTTTTTTTTCCTTAACATTCTTCCCAGATATATTGTGTATGATGTCGCTCAGGTAAACCTGAAGTACCTGCTGAAACTGAAATTCAACTATAAGACATCACTCTGGTGAACAATATTTAGAAGCCCTGTTAGAGTTATACTGTAGTTACACTATAGCGTTGACTTCTGACATGCTTAAGCATTGACTTCTCTTATCAAGATATCAAAACAGCTAAACTGCAGAAAAGGTTACTAAATCCTATTTAGTACAACTCTCAGTGAAAGTTTTGTATAAATGTGTGACAACACATGGAACTGAATTCTGATGGAATGAGTACCTTGTTTTGTTTTATATCACTTCTAGTTTGGGGGCTATCAAGTGTTTTCTTTTAATTGACCAAACTGACCGAAAAACTCGAGCTTGTGTTTTTAGCCAGAGGTGGGTAATAGCAGGAGGAGGAACTTCAGGATATTTGCAGATACCTGCTCTGTTATAGTTCCCTCTTGTTTAAGATACCCTTTTTCATTTTTCATTTGGAATAAATGTTAAATGTGCATTTATTTTGAGGTAAAAATAAAAGCTAATTTCATACTAACAGCTTTATGTTTCAAAACTTCCAAATTGTTTTGATTTTTAAGTCATAATTTAAATGTATTTGGAATGGTTTTAAGCATGCCATCTCTTTCTAAAGATCAGATGCCAAACGTTGCAATCTGTAGCCACATTTCATCAAGTCATGGTGAAATGAGAATTTGGACTTTTCCACTGAGATTTCATCTGTTAAGAGCTGGTGTGGTAAACATATAAAATGAACTTGTGGCTGTTTGAATTTAGTGTTAGCCCAAATAAACCTCCTATAAATACCTACCTTCAAAATGATGTAATTTGGTTGTTACAGACTGAAGTCCTAGCAAAGCTCTGAGTCGCGCTTTGGCAGAGCAGGACAAGCTTTGCCCGCTCGCTGACCTGGAGTGAGCTATGTTGCCACTTTGGGGTGGTCTTGCACTCTCTTGAAATGTCAATGGAGACTGATTTCCAAGTGTCCTGATGTGGGTTATTTTTCCCTTAAGCCAACTCGCAATAAGCCACTGAGCAATATGGGAAAACTTGACTATAGAGTGACCGAAGTTCTTTTCAAACCCGTTCCCTGGAGCACACACCTTTTCCTCTAGCTGCAGAGTTCAAACTGACTAATCCAGTCAGTTCTTTGTGAGCAGTGCATCCAGTCTCAGCTCTGCTACGTTTGAGCTCATATTGTTCATGCTACTACAGCTTCAATCTTTGGTGACCCGTAGGGAAAGAGCCAATCTGTTTCCTCAAGGGTTGTGATGAGCTAACGCCTTTTGAAAGAGCGTTTCCATCCAAAGCAGTTGCTTACAGTGTAGCTGCTTCCAGGCCCTCTGAAGAGAGCAGGATGAGGAGTGGAGGATGGAAAACAAAACTGCTGCCTGGGAAAGGAGGAAAAGCGGAAGGACCAGGTGAGCTGTGTGACTGCAGACAGTTAAATGCAGGGGAACCAAATAAGGCTGGTGCTCATGGATTTGAGAGAAAGTGAAAAGAGTGGCCTTTAGCTTGTGGCTTCTCAGTAAAGTTCAACCTGTAGCTAATGATTACGTCACCTCCAGCAGAAAGTTGTCTTGTTTAATGAAGCACTTGAGCGTTCACTGTAATGTTGGTGGCCTCTGGGAAAGCACATGAGAACTGATTCAGTTTAGTTGTGAAGTAGCATTTTTCTTTATTTCCCCATCCTTTTTTTCCCTGCAAAAGAGGTTTCACTTCAATCTGGGACTAGGAATGAAAGGTAGATTCTTTTGATGACCTGTCTATCACCTGCTATTTACTAGGGAAGACTCAAAGTGTCCTTACACTCTGAGAACTTTCTTTCTTGCCCTGGAAGATGTTTTTAAATGTTATGCTAGGAAGTGGTATAAAGAACAATTTTTAGATGCATGTGGCACTTTCAGCTTCTGATTCACTTGAGAAGAAAAAAAAAGACTTCAAAAACAGCAGTGTATAAATATTTAACCAGTTCTCTCTATTTACTCTGACTGGGGGTTCTATTGTATGATGGCCGGCAAATATTAAGATATTCAGTATGTCTATTATTGGAATTAGGTAGCCTGAAGGAAGCCAGCCTCTGTGTGCTGACTGGCGATCGGTGTCAGCTGTCTGTGACTTGCCCAAGTTCACACAAAGAGCGGATGAGAAGTACTGCAGAGGTCGCCTAACCTACTACTTTAACCACAAAACTGTCTTTAAGTCACTTTGTACAGCCTTTAATGAATACCGCCTAGCCCACCCACACACACAAGTTTGTTTAGATCTGGATATGACCTTTCAGAACATGAAGCCATCCTGGCTGGTTCCTGGAAAAAGTCATATTCCTTCCTCTTACAAGCAATACCTGGAACTCCTGAGGTCTTTGCTTTGGGTATTGCTATTGAAGACTTTTCCAGACCTCCCTCTTTGAGTTTAGTGGACCTGTTTTTCTGATTGTCTTTGGCCACTCTAAATCCCACTTAGGTGAAAGTCTAATACTTAAGTAGCAAGGCATTAACTTGATCTATCATTCCTTCTGTTATTCCTATTTAAAAAAAAATCCACACTATGTGGCCTACATGCATCCAATTAAGAGCTTGTTTGGCCTTTTACTTTCAAATAAATGCTAGGCTACTTCCCTGGAAATTTACATTTAGTAGATGCGATGGCACCCGCATAGCAAGACAAGCAGTTTTTCAAAGCTGCAGAGAGAATCTAAGCAAAGCAATGTTGGGAATCTCTGATATGGAATGAATTGTCATATTAAATCCTATAGACGCTGAGGTCGTTATATCTTTCTATCTACTAGCTTGCGAGTAAAGTAAGGGAAGTGCAGCATTGTCTTTACTACCTCTGCTTAATAATTAAAAAAAAAACTTTATATAAAAACAAGTTCCAGATACAAGGATCATGGGGTTTTGGGGTTTTTATTTCAAAACTTCTTTATATTCAGGCACTATCCTCTGAAGCTGTCTCAGGCTTTCCTTTATTAATTCGTCTCACTTCAGGTTTTGACAGCTCTGCTTAACGATCTGTGCTAGGCCGCACGGTTCCTGCCTTGAGCTGTGCTCCCGCTCCCGGAGCGGGTGTGCAGGAATGGGGCTTAGCACGTGCCTCCCTTAATTCCTGTGGTGGAAACAGAGATGTTTCCAGGGAAGCGTAAGAAGGGGTTTGCTGAGGTGGGCAGGGCTTGCTGGGCTCTGCAGCGAGGGCCATGTTCCCGTGTCCACAGGCAGCTCTCCCTCGTCTTGCCACCAGGAGCAGGATGGTGGCGAAGGCGCAGGGGCCGAGCTCCTGTCCTGGTATCTTCACAGCCCTGCCCAGCGGGGCTCCAGGAAGCAGCTTGGCCCTTTTCCATTCCTTCTGGAGCGGGGAGAGCGCACAGCCTTCGGCACGGTTTGCCGCGCTCTCGGGGCTGCAAGCACAGTGTGAAGGTGAGAAGCCTTTACAAGAAAAAGGAATTTGGCTTCCCAAGCAGTGAGAGGAAGCTGCTGCTTCCTCTGCTCTTGTTACGAGCTCTGCCTGCGGGACGGCAGCGCCGAGCGCAGCAGCACTTGGAGGCTTGGTGAGGACGTGGCCCCGTGCCCGGCGGGCGCACCTGCGGTGTCTGGCATTATCCCTGCTTTCCTGGCTGCATCCGTGCCCGCCTGGGGGCAGGGGAGAAAAGGACAGATAGTTGTGTCCTGTCCCTGGGCTCTAGCATTACCCACACTGCGTTAACGAGATCCTGAACGCATTGATTAAGTAGGTGGTGTAGCACGCATCATGTCATCCCCATCGCCGAGGGGAAAGTGGGAATGTGGAAACAAATTTTGCAGTGTTTGGGCACGCGCTGCTTGGGCAGTTGCCTAATGTGACCCGGTGGGAAAGCTAATAGAGTGAGGAAAGCCAATTTACAGAGGCTTCTTCCACCTGTGTGAGGCAGTTGAGTGAGCAGCACCTAATGACAGGTGCTTAACAACATGCACAGATATTCCTGGTCGTTGTACCTGTCCAAATGTGACACTTCTGTGTCACCCAAGTGTAAACTGCCACTTTGCCAGATGATAGAAGGATGCTCTTAAATCACTATGCGTTTCTTTGTGTATTATCAAATAGCAATGAATACTGCTTTGTCTAAGTGAGTAATAGAGTATAGAGAGAGAGATTTGAAAAGAGCATATACGAGAGAATAAAACAAATCAGAGCTACTGTAGCATTCATGAAAGGCCAAAATGTAAAAGAACTTATGGCAGGAACTGTTACTATACAGGGCTGCTTGCTACCCTTTCAACACAATGAATGCTAATGGTATCTGCTAAAAAAAAAAAAAAAAAAATCCAAATTAAATAGTTGGAGTGAAATGCACCAATACCGAGTATAATCTCCTTGGGAGCTTATTTCCATCTTCTGACCTAGGAACTTCTATGGTGATGGGCAAGAGATGTGCCTCCTAGTAATCTTTTTTTCAGATGCCTTGAAAGGCTTTTTTCTCACAAAATTTCTCTTTCTTCTATAAATCCAGACTCTCAGTAGTGCTGCAAAACACAACTGTGTTCCTTCTCTTTTGGTATTTCTTTCTTCTCCTTCATCCCTCAGAAAATTCCTTCTCTTGGCAAAAGTATCAGGGAGCCCGGGGCAACTGCTGCTCTCAACACAGTGAGACCCGATGAAAAGGTCTGCAGAGCACAGCATCAAAAGCCCCCTTAGTGATCGGTGTCTCCTGTCAACTGCTCATTGTCACCCCTCTCAGCTGAGCGTTATTACTTAACTCTTGGAAGAAGCTGGGCTCAGCTGGGGTACGGAACGAGTATCAGTAGCATTAGCGTGTCACTGCGCAGCCAGGCCGCGAGGTCTGCTTGCTGGCAGGCCTGTTCTTAGGTAGTGGTGGGGTTTTTAATAAAAAGGTACAAGGTTTAATGCTCTGTAGTTCTTCTATAGCCATTTATATAAAGATGGGTTTTGTTGCTTTCTCCTTTTAGTGCTGTGCCTATATTCCTTTGCATTTACTGTAGCTGCTTTGTTTTGATGTCTGTGGTGCAGAAAGGTCATGCTCAAATGTCTTGGGCCCTTTAGGCAGACTTTGTTAACAGTCTTTCAAAATGACCTGGAAACTGGGGTGGAAATGCCTGCTAGGCATCATCTTAACAAATAAAAATAAATAAATAAATGCTGTATTTTATAACGTTTCTATCCTGGAGGGTTTATAACGTTTCTATCCTATCTAAAGCCTGGAGGGAAGTTATAAAGCATTTTGCTTGTTGTTTCTCCTAGAAACTCTCTTTTACTCTTAAGCACAATAGCAACATTTTTTTGTTACCATGACCTATATTCAGCTCCTCTGAACCTGCATGAGTGCCCCAGTCTGCTGAGCTTCTTTATTAGCAACTTAAGAACATGCATTAAAAACTCTTTCCTTTTAAAAATTCTCTTTTCCAGAGACTGGCTGTGTGCGCCACAGCATTCCTGCTTGCAGCTCAAGGGCTTTCCCAAATGCCTTTAAAGAGATGCAAACACGTAGGCAAACCAGGTCCTCGTGTGCACCTCTCGCCTTTGCCTAGGCGGAGAGAGGCTGGTATTTGGCCTCGACCTTCACGTGGAGCTTTCAGGTTTGAAGTAAAGATGGAGCTGTGGTGGGTGCAGTAGTGTTTGTAGAGCCTGCCCCTGTCAAAGCCTCTCTCTAACAGGCACCTCACCAGCGAGGGGCTCGTGGCTTGTGCAAACAAGCACCGAGGCTGAAGGAGGCC